CGCAGGGATACATGAGGGCCGAAACTTGACAGGGGGTTTAGCTGTGGGAACCTTGGCGAGAGCAGCTTGGATGGACTATGGGAAGCAAAAGCCTGATTAGAGTGAATTCAAGAGAGCAGAGATGCCCTGGCTGGTGTGGCTCAGTGGATTGAGTGCCAGCCTGTAAACCACAAGGCCGTCCATTTGATCCCCAGTCGGGACACACGCCTGGGTTGTGGGCCAGGACCCCAGTGGGGAGTATGTGAGAGGCAACCTCACATTGATGTTTCTCTCCCTCTCTTTCTCCCTCCCTTCCCCTCTCTCTAAAAATAAATAAATAAAATCTGTAAAAAAAGAGAGAACAGAAAAAAACAACAAAAAAAAAAGGAGACAATGAATCAAAACAACTCTTTTGAGTTTTGCTATAAAGGAATGAGAAAAATGGGGCAAATGCTAGAAGAAGGGTCAAGGGAGGTTTGTTTACTGGTTCTTAGGATGGAAAAATACCAACGCATTTGTTGTAACGGGAAAGACTGAAAGAAGAGCAGGAGAGTGGTGGGGAGGAGAAAGAGAGGGGCAGAGTCCGGCATGCATGCAAAATGGTCGAATCTTGCCAGCACCTCAGAAAACTCATGTATTACCTCCTTCATTCGAGGATAAAATTGTGCAGGCAGAAGTTGCAAGTGACTCAGGGTCTCTTGGAAGGAAAGCAACATTATAGCCTGGGCTTAGGATATCTCTTCCTCCCTAGTCACAGCCCCAGACATGCTGGAGCAGGACTGGATGGATGTCTCCATCCCTCCACCTGACCTGTTTTCCAGTGGGTTCTACCTGCCCCACCTCTCTGCTCAGTGGAAGAGAGGGTCAAGGCCCCTGCTGCATATGCACAAACACAGGGACCATCCCAGCCAGAGAGAGGGGCCCTGCCCCTTCCTGGGAAGCTCCTGCCTGAGGCCTGGGCAGAACTGCAGACACAGGGGGCAGCCCGAAAGCAAGACCAGGCTGGGCCAAGGCCTGGGCTGGAAGAGGTACAGTGGCAGGCTAAGGACCTGCCACCCCCAGAGAGCAGGTGTGTATCATCCCGAGGGAAGTGGGGGTGGTTGCAACAGCTTCCAAGGCCCACGGATAGCCCAGCCCTGCCCTGAGGCTGGGGGACGGCCTAGATGGCCTCCCACACATCGATCACCCTGCTCAGGCAGCAGGACTTTGAAGTGAGGCAGCAGGGCCTCAGAGCCTCTTCCTGGAATGGAGACTTCCAGCTCTCTCCACAACAGGCGGAGGCCGACTTTTGGGGCCACTGCCTGATGTCAGGAGTGAGGGGGCATCATCTGGAAGGGTCCAAATGCGCGGACCTAGGCAATAATAGCACCTGGTCCCCAGAGCAGAACAACCCAGGTGCACACAAACCAGCACCACCCACAACCACCTCATGCACAGCCACAACCTCACAAAACCCTGCCAGCCACCTCCACAACCATACCTGTTCACACCACACACACCAAACATACCCACCCACTCCCCTGTTGCCCCTTTAACACACAGGACCCAATTCCAAATACAAACAGCTCTCACTTGTAACCTTCTGTGCAGCCAACATTTACTTTACAGATATCAATAATAACTGGGTGCCGGCCACTTCCAGGCCCTGGAGATAGAGATGGAGCGGGAGCCAAACCAGCGCGCTCCCTGCTCTCCTGGAGGTCATTTCAGAGGTGGTTCTGGAGAGTGACTGCTGAGGAAGTGGGGCGAGATAGCTTCAGGTGGGATGACCAGCCAACACTCTACAAGAAGCTGAGACCGCAATGAGGAGGAGGAGTCTGCCAGGTGAAGGGCAGGTCAGGCGAGGGGAACAGCAAATGCAAAGGCCAGAGGCTGGACTGAACAAGGCTAGTGTGACCAGACAGCAGTGATCAAGGGGACGTGGTAGGAGGTGAGGCAGGGTTAGGTTATTTGGGGCTTTGCAAGCCAGTGCCAGGAGAATGGGTGTTAGTATAAAGGCAATGGTAAGTTACCACAGGTTTTAATAGGGGAATGGCATGATCTGACCTATATCATTGATGCACTACTTAGCTAGAAGAAACCATGAGAGAGAAAATTTTTTTTTAGTTCTCAGAGTGGGGAAGGCATTTCTAGTTATGAGCAAACCCAGAGACCATAAAAGATAAGATTGATACATTTGACTACATCAATGAGAAGTTTAATTCTATACAATGTCAAAATACAAGTGTCAGACTGGGAGAGAGACATCCTTTCTATGTGTACCACTGACAGAAGGCTTCTTTCTTTAATATGTAAAGAGCTCCTAAGAAATAAATAATAAAAAGGTACTCATCCAATTGAAAAGTGGGTGAAGGCAAAGGACAGTTCACAAAAAAAGAAACACAGGTGGCTTTTAAGTATATGAAAAGATGTTCATTCTCACTCAGAAGAGGGGAAATGCAAATGGAAAATATAATGAGATACCACTGCCAACGATCATTCAGTTTTATAATGTTCTATTTGGCAAGAATACGAGAAAACAAGCCCTCTCATGTCTACTGGCAGCATAAACAGATACATGTACGGAGGGGATTTAGCAATATTTAGCAAAATCTTAAATGAGTCTACAACTTTAACTAAAAAATTCCATTTCTAGAAATATATCTAATGGACATAATAAAAAATGTGTTAGTGATGCTTGTCCAAGGATATTTATCAAAAAATATTTTATAATAGAAATAAATACAAGATTGGAAACAGCCTTAATTTTCATTAATATAGAACTGATTACATATATTATGGTACGTATACTCTTCAGCTGGTGTTTTGGTTGTTGTTGGTTTTGGTTTTTGGGAGCTTTTATTGTTTTGTTTTGTTTATCTCTCCTGATAATGGAAAACAGAATATTATTCAGCTATTTAAAAAAAAAAAAAGAATGAGCCAGTTCACTAACTACTAAGAGAGGACAATGTGTTATATTTTGTCAAATAAAAAACAGTAAATTACAGCATGTGTGCATAGCATACCTCCACTGGATAAATGTATGAAGAAGAATATCTTTGTAGTCGAAGATGCACAGTTGATCTCAGGAAGGAAAAACAAGTAACTGGAAACGTGGTGGTCAAGGGGCAGCCCTGGCCACATAGTCTGGTGTTCGGGGAGAAGTCAGGAGTCACGCTGGACGTGTGGGATTCATCAGCGCACAGGTGGTATGGAAGCCCCAGGGCTGGGTGAGCTCACCCAGGAGACAGGAAACGGAGCCCTGGGACGCGCCCACGCTGGAGACCAGGATGGCAGACCTCCAAGGTACAAGGAAACAGAAAATGTGGTATCAAGGAAGCCAAAGGAAGAAAGTCTCTTGAGAAGCAAGGGGTGTTCAGCTGTGTAGGTGCTTCCAAAGTTCTGAGAGGATAGGAACAGAGAGGTGACTATTAGATTTATCATCATCAAGATCCATCACGGGGATCCTTTAGTGACATGGTAGGGACAGAAACATTGTTCAAACGGGTTGAAGAGTGGCCAGGGCGTGAGGAAGTGGGGATCCGGTTTTGCTCTGAAATGCAGCAGAGCAGCAGGTGGCCGGGAGCAGGTGGCAGAGCCAGGACCCCATCCCACACATCCCCCCACGCCAGCGTGTGCATGGAACCACCCGGACCACCCCAGCCCTGCCGAGTCTCAGCAGTGATTTTCAAGGCCGTGACTCGTGAGCCGGGAAGCCTCCGGAGCTGGCTCTGCTCTGATCATCTGGGTGACCCTGGGCACGTCACCTGACCTCTCTGTGCCTCAGTTTTCTCATTTATAAAAGTGGGAAGGATCATACCATCGTCATCAGGCACTGTGAAGATAGAATAAAGCCTGCGGGACATCACCTGGCACACAGGATTCTCGAGCTCCCAGCGCGGCGTCCGTTACCTATCAGAGCGATTTGCAGCCTTTTTCCTCTCACGGCACATAAACTACTTGCCAGAATGCGGCAGCACGCCAAAATATGTATCTTTCGCCAATTCGATCCAAAAAAAAAAAAAAAGTGTAATTTTGATTCACTCACACTGGATGGCTATTGTTGCGGTGGCTGTTGTCATTTTTTTTTTTTTTTTTTAATTTGACAATCTAAGGGAAAAGAGGTCAGTGGCCAGGGCTATCTAGTGAGGCGTCGCATGTTTTAAACATTCTCGCCGCACACCAGTTGAAAATCGCTGCTCTATGACAAGACTAGGGTGACGGTGTGATTAATCTTCCCAAGTTTGGGGGCACTTTTGAGAGTAAAGGGTGTGCCGTTAGTTACCCCAGAGCGGCAGGCATACCTGAGCACTCCCGGGGACAGTGAGTCACCCTTGTGCCGGCAACATCGTCGCTGTTGAGACTTCGAGGGCTGAAGCCCTGCGTGACTCAAGTCCCCGGACTCCTCGGGGAGACCGGGAACCCTGGGGTTCCCTCCGACAGGGCTGGGGCGCCAGGGCCTCTCGGTTTCCTAATTAGGGCACGCTAGTAAATGAGACAAAGCGTCCGCAGAGCCCAGCCAGCTGCAGGCCTGCCTCGCTCGGCAGGGGCACCCACCCGCCCCACCCTCCTCCCACAGGAGCTGCCCTTTGGAGGAACTCCAGGCGACGGCAGGATTCGCTTCGCCCCTTCCCACCCGGGTTCTCCCAAGTGCACGCGCTTCCTTCGAGGAGGACACAGCCTGAGGCAGCCGGCCGTGCAGGACCCGTCGTGCTGGCAAGGCAGGCCCCCAAGGGTGCGCCCACACGGGCCCCAGGCCGGGCGGGGACGGTGACCTGCGGGGCGCGGGCGCAGTGTCCGTGGTAACGCGCGTGGGTGAGTCGTGATTGCAGTCCGTCCTGAGGCACAGCACTTGACAGTTTATAGTGCTTCACGCCCCTAATCTCATTGGAGACTTTGCAACAGCCCTGCCCATGGCCACCGATGCCCCCGCTCGCAAGAAAGAGCCGAGGTGCCCAGGTTGCCCTGGGAACCCGCGGCAGCGTGGGGGCTAGAACCTGACCCTCTCCGCCCCCAGGCGCCTGGGCTCCTCCCCCGACCCTCCCTCCTCCGCCGTCTCTAGGGTGTGCCCGCCGCTGTCGGTGCCTCATCGCCACCGCAGAGCCTCTGCTGCGGGCCTCGAGGACGTGGGGTCCCGGCCCCGCGCTGGCCGCGCCGCTGTGGGTAAGTGTCCGGTGTGAGCGCCCCCCGGGACGCCCAGCGCCCTGCGCGCCTGGCGGCGGCGGGCAGCAGGCGCCGGGCGGTGGCCTGATCCCGCACCGCCCCCTCTCCGCCGGGCTGAGGATGGGGGCGCCGGGAAGCGGAGTGATGAAGGGACCGCCCCGCCCCATCCTCTCCACTGCCTTGGCGCCCCTAGATTCTGGGCGGGAGTGGGCTCCAAGCGCTGAAAGTTTCCCAGACACCCCTCCTATGCCTGCAAGCTCCCAAGCTGCCTGCAATGGAAGGAAAAATGTGGGAGGCGGGTCGCCAGAGGGAAAGTGGGTAGTGTTTGGGATTTTGTTGGAAATCCACGAAAGCGAAGAGCCAACTTCAGTTAGTTACACGTGGATTTTCGACTGCGCGGGGTCGGCGCCCCTACCCACCACGTCGTTCACGATGGTCAACTGCAGTTCTGTCCTGGGGGCGGGGCGGGGGGCGCGGGCATGACAGAGTGGCTGCAAAAGCTGGGCGCGCTGGGTCCGCGAGCTGGGGAAAGCGGGTGGCTGCGGCTGATACTGGGGCCCTGCGGGCGGTGGGGAACCAGAACCGGCTCCACCAGTCCCGGGCCTGGACGTGGAGGGAAATTCTTTGCGGGTGAGTTTCGTCCCTGGGGTGTGTCAGGCAGGGCTGGGCAGACAGGACCGGGGAGTGGAAAGTGGGGGCTGCCCTGGGTGGGCTGCCTTGGGCGGGGGGTCAAACCGCTCAGGATCCCTCTCCTCTAAGGGCTGGTGGACAGGGCTCCAACCCCCACCTCAGTTTTCTAGAACTTCCACCAGGCGAGTGGCATGTTGGGGAGGAATCAATCTCCTGATTCTGACAACAGCCCAAGAAAGCAGGACTTGTTTCCCTTTAGAGATAAAGGCGTGGAGTCAAGGAGCTTTGGGAATTCTGGGAAGTCCCCCCTTTCCCGCCCCCCTCCCCCCAGTTAGTGGCCGAGTTGAGGCTTGAATCCAGATGCGACTCCACACGCCATGCACATCCCACTGCCCCTCGCCGAAGGCCAGGTCTTCGAGGGAGCAGGGAAGGGGAGGCTAGGAGGGTGTCCAGGAGTGGGGTCTTCCGCTGCCACCCGATTCTGGCCCAGAGTCCCAGGAGGGCTGAAGGGCCCAGAGGGACTGCACCTTCTCTCCAGTGAAGGGAAGTCTTTCTCCCCAAGTCACCTGGTCCAGACCCTCCTTAGGGCTCCTGCCTACGCCTCCCAGCCCCTCCCTCCAAGCTGCCTAACAATTCGGCAGTCGTCTGTTGGTTCATTCAGCATGTACTGAGTATCTACTCTGTGCCAAGCACTGGGCACTAATAAAGCAGTGAGCAAGACAGAGTTGACATTCTAGTCGGGGAGACAAGGCAATAAATAATTTTTTAAAATGTAAATACTTTCACTTCAAGTGGTGATTAAGTGCTATAAAGAAAATAAAGCTGGCAGGAGCAGAGCGGCTGGGAGGGAATGGGCTCCCAGATTCAGGATTATCTGGGGAGGCCTCTCAGGCAGCTGTTTTCAATCAGTGCGCTGCAAGAATTTTAAAAACATGCAATACCTGACTAGTTAGTCAAGGGCACTGACCTCTTTTCCCTTAGATTATCAAATTTTAAAAAAGACAACAGGCAATACAACGCTAGCTGTTTGGTGCGAATGAATAAAAATTGTACTTTTTTTTTTTTTTTTTTTTTGCTGTTGGTTAATAAAAAATATATATTTCGGCGTTCCACAGAATTCTAGTGATTAGTTTATGTGTGCCATGAGATGAAAAGGTTGAATATCGCTGCTCTAAGGAGATGCCTGAGCAGAGGCCTCAGCGGTGAGAAGGGCCCAGGCACATGAGGTTCTGGAGGACGAGCATTCCAGGCAGTGGGAAAAGTGCAAGGCTCCCGGGGTCCCCACGGTGGCCGGAGCAGAGAGAGGCAGGGTGACAATGCAAGAGACAAGGGTGAGAATGTCGCCTCTGGGGGCAATTCTAAGTGCATGAGAAGCTAGTAGAGCGTTTTAAACAAGGGAGTAACATGAGTCAATGTCATGGACTCTCGGGGTGCAGGAGCAGACATCGAAAGGCCAGTGAGGAGTCCCTGGCAATGATACCAGCAAGAGTTGATGGTGGCTTGGACCAGGGTGGTGGCAGTAGAGGGGTGAGAAGTGGCCGTGCAGGGGCTGGACCGACAGACATCAGGCATGTTCAGAATCACCAACCAGCCCCAGGAGCACTCACATGTGCGTGCAGACCCTCATATGCACGTGGAGAGCCGCATGCCATCGCACCCATTACGGCAGGCAGACACTAGTCTCTTTCAGGCAGACCCACCTAGCCACACCCTATGAGTCACGCTGGGACTGAGAAAGATGTATGATCTGGAGGTGCGAACAGAGCCCTGGCGTCCAGCGTGGCTGGGTGGCCCTGGCACAGGGAGCAGAGAGGTCTATCTAGATACTGCTCTGGATCTGGTGTTCCCCCAGAGCCAGACCATTACCACCCTTCACGCACCCCCCCAACATGAAATGGGCTCCCAGCTTCATCACCTCCTGGCTGCGAGACCTTGGGAAGGTTATTTCCCCTCTCCCAGGCTCAGGATCCTGTGTAGAATAAGATTCAACCCCAGCCTCACGGGACGGCAGCGAGGCGTCAGTGAGGGAAGTCGCAGGAAGCTGGACTGAGGCAGGCATCCAGCAGGGACGGGGAGAGGGGGTAACGGGCGGCGCAGCCCTGGCAGCCACAGTCCAGCCTTGAATCCAACTCTAGTTTTTCATTATTTTTTTTTAATTAATGACTTAATGAAATCATTTGAGAGAGAGAAACATTGATTTGTTGTTCCACTTCTTTATGAATTCATTGGTTGATTCTTGTGTGTGACCTGACCGGGGATTGAACCCGCAACCTTGGTGCATTGGGACAGCACTCTAACCAACTGAGCTCCTTGGCCAGAGTGTCCAACTCTAGTTTTCAATGAGTGACTTGACCTCTCTACATTTCACAAGCGGCCAGCATTTATCGAGCACTTACTAGGTACTAAGTGCTTTGCAACCCTTATCTCCATCTGTATTTGAGAAGCCCAATAGTATTTACATCAAAGGGTCATTATAGGGATTAAATGAAATCTTGCACATAGTGTTTAGCTCTATGCTTGGCTCATAGTGAATAATGACTGGTAATTGTTATTATCAGCAAGTGTACGTTCCCTTCCTTCTGGTATACTAGCTCTGTGACTTTGGGCAGGTTACTTACCCTCTCTGCCTATTTATCCATACTTCAGGGAGCATAATATTTCTGATCTCATCGAGTCTTTGCATTGATCAAATGAGTCCATCCACATAAAAAGCTTGGAACAGTGCTGTGTACATAATAAGAGCTTGATAAACGTCGCCTATTCATTAACATGGTTTTTCCTATTATTCCACCAGTTGTGCACAGCCCCCGGCGTCCCTACCAGGCACCAGGCCCCCGGCGTCCCTACCAGGCACCATGGACTGGAAGACACTCCAGGCCCTGCTGAGCGGCGTGAACAAGTACTCCACAGCCTTTGGGCGCATCTGGCTGTCCGTGGTGTTCGTCTTCCGGGTGCTGGTGTACGTGGTGGCCGCAGAGCGTGTGTGGGGGGATGAACAGAAGGACTTTGACTGCAACACCAAGCAGCCAGGCTGCGCCAACGTCTGCTATGACAACTTCTTCCCCATCTCCAATATCCGCCTCTGGGCCCTACAGCTCATCTTCGTCACCTGCCCCTCGCTGCTGGTCATCCTGCACGTGGCCTACCGTGAGGAGCGGGAGCGGAAGCACCGCCAGAAGCACGGGGACCAGTGCACCAAGCTGTATGACAACGCAGGCAAGAAGCACGGCGGCCTGTGGTGGACGTACCTGCTCAGCCTCATCTTCAAGCTCACCATCGAATTCCTCTTCCTCTACGTGCTGCACACTCTCTGGTACGGCTTCAGCATCCCACGCCTGGTACAGTGCTCCGTGGTGCCCTGCCCCAATACCGTGGACTGCTACATCGCCCGGCCCACGGAGAAGAAGGTCTTCACCTACTTCATGGTGAGCGCCTCTGCCATCTGCATCGTGCTCACCATCAGCGAGATCTGCTACCTGATCTTCCACAGGATCCTCAGAGGCATGCGCAAGAACAGGTCCCCAGGCAGCCGCAACCCCAGATCCTCAGCCAGCCGGGCCTCCACCTGCCGCTGCCACGGGAAGCTGGTAGAGGCTGGGGAGTTGGTCCCGGACTCCGGCTGTGAGAAGCTGCCTGCTTCAGCACCCACCCTGACCCCCATCTGACCACAGGCTGGGAAGCGACACCGGGTCTGCAGATGGGGGACAGGTCAGGAGGTCTCGCACCTGTGGAGGGGTCCAAAGGTGCTGGGTGCCCCCACTCTGAATTCACCAAGCGATCCAATTTTGGTTTTGGCAGAAACTTTTTGAGCGCTGAGCACTGTGCTGATCACCTGGGTAGATAGAGGCCACACCACAGGCCCACTGCCAGCCCTCAGGGGAGACAGACATTGAAACAAGCACATTAACTAGTATGCAAGGGGATGCTTAGGCCACTCATCGCAGAGCTTCTGAAACCTAACCCAGGAGGGGGTGATCAGGCCAGCCTCCCCTGAGGCTGCAATGTTTAAGAGAGGTGAGAAGTGCTTGGAGCAGAGAGAATGGCAGCTGCAGAGGCCTGGAGGCCACCAGAAGAGAGATGCTTGGGGGTGTGGGAGGGGGGGATGTGCCAGACCAAAAAGAATTTTCCTTCCCTTGGAAGAGGCACCCAGATCCCTGCAGTGCAGAGGAAGAATTCTCCAAGCAGTGGGAGGCCTGGAGTCCTGAGAATGGACTTGGGAAGCTGAGGAGGAGCCCCTGGTGATACCAACCCCCTGCTCGGGGCACCCAGGCACCCTCTGAGTCCCCACTGCTCTCAGGGAAAGTCCCCCTCCCCCAGGTTCCACTCTGCCAGCCTCAGGAATCTTTGCTCCCGTCTTTCCCCACAAATGTGCTCCATCTGGTGCCAGTCTTTCCAACCCTGCTCGGTGGGACTCAGGGTCATTGTCCTGATAGGAACACCCCCACAGCCGTTTTCCTTGAAATCAATAAAGGCTGTGTTTTATACAGGTTGGCTCCGTCCTCTCTTCTCCCACACTGCCACCCACAAGACCCTGAAGGCAGGGAAGGTAGCCCTCTGAGCTAGGGGGGAGCCAGGGCGTGGGGCGGGGGGGGGGATGGAGGGGGAGCCGCGGCTGAAGTTAGGTTGGGGCTGGGATTGACAGGCGGCGATGGGGTGGAACCTACAGTGATTGGAGGCGTGGTCACAAGAGGGCGCTACGCTCCCACTACAACCAGGCTTCTAGCCCTTTGTAGGGAAGACGCTGTCCTCGCACACACACAATCACTGTCTTATCGTTATAGACAAATCACAGTCCCTGCTCCTTTGTAACTCAGTCACTGACAGCACAACCTCATTCCCACCCTGTGTATACAAAATCTCTGTTAGTCATACTCTCACGTCTTAGATACACTCCCAACAGGCCAGCTGTCTCTCCTGAAGGCAGGTAGCCCCAGCCTCACCCAAGCATTATTCAACTCTTCTCATTTTTCCTGAGTATTTTTTTCCATGCCGGGCCCCTGGCAGGATGCTGGGACTGCATCGGGAGTAGGAGAGGAGCCCAGACAGCCCGGAGGAGACGGAAACACATTCATCTGCATTAACAACCCTCTGGACTGGCTCAGAGTCCCACCCCCAGCGCTCTGTGACCACCTGAAATTTAGGGGACGCCGACATCCAAGTCCAGACCAGGATACAAAGAAAAAGAGATGTGAAGCCTGTAGTGACCTAGAGGAATGTTCAGTGACTATTAAAGCTGAGGCCAGGAGCCAGAAATCCAGGAGGCAGTTGGCCAAGAGCCAGCGTGGGCAGGGAGAGGTCGGGTCATTATGCAGCGAGAACAGGCTGCGGGTTCACCTTCGCTCTCCGTGTGGCCGTTAGTGAGATGAATAAGCCAGACAAGTTTAAGGGCCCAGGGTTGGGCTGACACCCAGCCCCCAGGCCTGAATTGTAGCTCAACCACTTCACGACCACAGCTTTGCCGTGCTACACCTTGGCAAGCTTGCAGAACCTTAGTCTTGTCACCAATACAATGGGAAGCTTATCAAGCAGGGTTCTGGCAGGAAACTGGTGACACATTCAAACCAAATAACTTTAAAGAGTTTCCGGGGTGAGACTGTTTTAGAAGCCATGGGCATGATTAAGAAAACGCACAAAGGGTCACTGTGGTATCTCTGGGCTGGCACCAGGGCAGCAATGGACAGGATTGCCACACAGGAGCTGTGGGTTGCAACCAGGTAAACTCCGCAGCTTCACTCTCTCATCTCTTGCTCATGTGCTGGTGGCTCCCCCTGACCCAGCCCAACCAGAAGCCAGAGGGTAAGGGCGCCTATTGAAGCAGTCAGCCTCCCAGTCACAGAGCAGGCTGGGGGCGGGGCGGGGGGGCGGGGGGGGGGCAGAGGGAAGAGTAGAGCAGACAGGCAAAGGGAACATATCCGTGCCAGCAGTCAGGACAGCACCTCGGACTGTTGTAGCAATAAAAGGAGATGCTGTTGGTAAAACGTTAGTAGAACTGACATATCCAGTAAATATCCAGAGACAGCCATGCTTAGGAAAGTCTCGGCCTGCTGCCGGGGCCCTGTAGTACCACAGGCCCCGATTGAACAGATGGTTGCAAAGGTCTCAGGGACAGGTGATCTCTATCTACTTACCACCATGCATTCCAGCATCTTCCAGGACATTTCAGCTGCCTGGCCAAGGGGGGTTTAGAGATCAGGGCAATCAGAGAACATGATGGGCTACCCCGGCATGGGTTGAGCTTCCAACCTGACCCTGCTTCTCCAGGCTGAAGGCCAGGACCATGGATGAGGATGTTCCAGCCCTGGACGTCCTGCCTTTGGCCTGAGAGCTGTTTTGAGCATCACAGCTTACTATTCTCATCCAGTATGTGTTGGGCTAATGTTCATCACCCAGAGTTCCCAGCTCACATCACTGTTACCACAAGATAGCACTCATGTCCCCTTGGTCTTCTCTGCTCAGGGTACACACCTCTATATCTTCCTCCCCTATTGCATGAGAATTCATTGCACGCTTCCTTCAGTCATGCATGTGATAGATTTCGATTTCATATACATGTCCTTCAAGTCTATATCTACTGCATGATGTAACAGCCACCCTGCAGCCTTAGGCGAACAGGAGATTGTTTTGTATTCATCACAGTGGTCTTAGTCTCATTATGGACTAAATGTTTGGGTTTTCCCAAAATTCATATGTTGAAACCCTAACCCTCAATGTGTTGGTATTAGGAGATAGCACCTTCGGGGGTGACTAGGTCGTGAGGGTGGAGCTCTCATGAATGGGATTAGTATCCTTCTAAGAACAGACAGGAGCCCTGGCTGGTGTGGCTCAGTGGATTGCGCTCTTGCCTGCAAACTTAAATGTCGCTAGTTCGACTCTCAGGGCACATGCCTGGGTTGCAGGCCAGGTCCCTGGCTGGGGGCAGGCAAGAGACAACCAACTGATGTTTCTCTCGCACACAGATGTTTCTCTCCCTCTCTTTCTCCCTCCCTTCCCCTCTGTTTGAAAATAAATGAATAAAATCTTTAAAAAAAGATCCATGAGAAGGATGATCTTTTTCTCTCCACCATGTGAGATCAGGTTGAGAAGACAGCCCAGTGTAAACCAGAAAGAGGGCAGTCACCAAGAACCCAACCATACAAGCACCCTGACCTCAGACTTCCAGCCCCCAGGAAGCTGAGAAACCTATTTCTGTTGCTGAGGCCCCCCAGTCTGTAGTACTCTGTCATAGCCTGAGCTGACCGGGGCACCCTCATCATCTCTCACCTGGATTGTGGCAACAGCCTCCCTCCTGCCCCCCTGGGAAGCAGACTCTGGGGAAGAGTTAAGAGTACAAAGAATGTTCTGGGGGTAAGACCTGTGAACAGAAAGGGGACAAAGTAGACTGAGCAACAAGACAGGGAGCTCTGTGTCTGGACAAAGACTGTTTCTCAGAGAAGCCTGCACTGAGCGCACAGGGTTGGGCTTGCGCAGGGCCTGGGGCCACGCCGGGGCAGCGGACGCAGGCCTGAAAGTGCTAATGAAATGGGGGAAGTCTGGGTTCGAGCTGCCTGTCGCTACCAGAACCCACGAGTAGAAACAAGGACTGAATGTTGATGGGCGCTGTATTCAGATGGTTGGCGATCTGAAAAGGCAGCGGTATGTCTTAATATCTCATTTCAAGCTGACCTTTTTATAAGGAGAAGAAAGGGTAGGTAAGGAGTTTGGGTTAATTGGATTAGAGTTGCAGTCTGGAGGTGATTTCCCTAGTACTTCTTTACCCGTTGGTCCTTGGTCGATTATCCGCATCCCTGGCCTTCCCCTCCCGGGAATGCAGCGGCTCAGACACCGTCTCCCGGGCCCGCAGAGCCCCTGGGGCACAGTGGTTGAACCGCTTGTCACCTTCTGCAGTGTGTCCCTGCACTCCAGTCCCTGCAACAACAAACTTCCACATGCAATAATCACTTAAATCTATCAGCAAAGCTAAAATCTTTCACTTTTGAGCTCCCCTGTCATTAACAGCTGGAAGCTGACCAGACCTCGCACGGCTGCCCAGCAAGGCCTTTAGTACAGGGGGGCACCCACTGTTCACCACCCACCCCCATAGTCTATTCCCAGCACAGCGGTCAGGGTGATCCTGTCTACACTGAAGTCAGGCTGTGTCACGCCTCTGCCCAAAACCTCGGAAGCTTCTCACAGAGGGCTTTTCAGCCGCCTGCAAGCTCTACGCCAGCCCACACCCCAGCTGTTCCCTTTCGGAACCCATTCCTTCTCTTTGCCCACCTCGCCCCAGCCACAAGGACCTCCTTGCAGGTCCCCAGGTAGGAAACCCCAGGCACGTTTCTGCCTCGGGAGCTTTGCTCTGTGGGCTCCTTAGCCTGGAATGATGCTCTTTCCCCTCGGGGCCACAGGGCTCCCCTCCGTTCAGGGCTTTCAACAAAGGGATGTCAGCCCCTTGGTGAGACTGCCTCCTCCGTTCTCTTCAGAACAGAAACTGCCGCCACCTGCACCCTCAATCTTCTCTCCCTACTGTACTTGCCACGTAGCATTTATTACCATCTAGCAGCTTCCACATTTTATTTCATCTCTCCCCCCAGCTGGAATCTAAAATCCACTAGGACAGGGATTTTTGTCCCCTGATTGCTGCTCTTCAGTGCCTAGGACAGTGCCACATCACCAGGGGGCAATACATATTTGTTGCATTAATAAATTTGTAACAGGGTACAGCCAGGCCCCCCCACAAAGGGTATTTTGTAACAGGGTCCAGAGATTGGGGTGTCCAAGAAAAATATATTCTCCCCACCCCAGGGCGGGCCGCCATGGGGGATGGGAGCCTTGAGCAGGGCCTTTGAGAGTCAGTTTGCATGTCAATAACAGGATAGCTTCTTTCCTCATTTGCAAAGAGGATTATTTGACATATCACCAAAGCTAATCAAGAAGGTTTAAAAGACTCAATACAAAATGTAACTGAGAGAAAGAGGGGAGACAGGGGCCTGCAGGAGAGACAAAGGGACACAGGCTCTGAGGAACAGTGTGAAGACCACACAGGAAGAAAAAGGGGAGAAAGGATTCTTGCTAGTGGGCCATGGGAAGGTGCCACATGGTTATGGATTAAGAGCTGGAGAGCGCAGCGACACAGCGGAGGGTGCTGAGACCAGCGAGAGGCCTGCCTAGCCGAGCCCCGGACTTCCGTTCTTTTCCTTCTGAAGGACGGTCCCCCTGACTGGCCTGACTGGCGTAACTGGGCAAAGTGGGGAAGGCAGGACAGTGTGTGTGCTGGTGATTGTTTTGAAGGGATTTTGAGGTTTAAGGGTGACATTGAGCCATTAATCAAACCTGTATAACTTTTGAATAAATAGTTCCTTTCCTTTTCACCAAACTGCCATTCAGAGCCATAATTCCAAGGGCAGCGGGCAAAGGACCCACAACCAAGGGATCCTGGGAAAGGAGGGTGTCGTTTTTTCGGTAATAGCATCTGGGCAACCCATCCCCCTCCCCCGGCCCTTCCGTTTGGTAACAAATTCATACATGGGC